CTGAACCTCTGCTTCTCCTCTCACACCATCACAGAGCTAAGAAATTATGCTTACTTGTTAAGGTTTCCATGTACCTCCAGAAGTCACAAGAAAAACACATTCCAACTCCACTCCAGTTTTAGCTAGTAATACATCCTAGCTGTAAAGAAGACTGATATTAATAATTACTTAATAGTTTTTCTACAGATTTTTGGTTGATCCAGTCTCTTCAGATATCCTTTATATACACTATTATTCAAAACATTTATACTGCATCTCTGTGAAATATCATACAAGTTATGTCAGCACCCTGAAAAATATACTCAATGTCACATACTTTTTGCTCTCTAATACTGTACCTGCTTTAAAATAAAATATGATGTAGATGAAAAAGATAAAGGCGAACACTAGAGATAGGACTGCACCCTGAAAATCCCTATAGCTTTCAGTGGTTGCTATGTTTTAGTGCACGCATGTTACTGGGCAACGGCTTAGAAGCAAGGCTGGCAAGGTCACTTAAAACGTAAGCCAACACTTACAAAAATATTCCAGTACCCAACTTCATCCCTTTATACCTTCACTTATAGCCACTCTTAGCTATAATATCAGGTATGGATTTAGGACAAGCTTATTAAAATTACCTAAAATTTAAAAAACATATTTTGACAATGACAAGCATTTTCCAAAAAGGTTTCAGGTTCCTCCTAGTCCTAAATTTTAATTATTTAAACTACTTTAAAATCATAACATACAGAATGTTTGGTCAAAAGTGAGGCCCCAGCCTCTGGCATTCATCCTTAGAGCACCAATGGAACAGGAATGGGCAGGAAGCTCCATTTCAAGCCCCCTCCCCTGGGAGGCACCTTGGTCCAGACTCCACCTCAGGGAAAAGCCCACCAAGCAGTGACCCCTCCCCAGGGAGGGTCAGGACCATTCCCACAGGCTGTTTAGGATACCACCCAGATAAAGAACACCTGGTCTCCCCTGCTCTCTTCCCCTTGCCATACTTTCTGGAGCCACCAGGGAGCACTGCAATTAAACATGGCATCTTTTATTTGGTCTGATTTGGTCTGCATGGAATTATTTGCATGGGCAGAGAGGCTCGTCTTAAGAATATTCCTAACACAGAAGGCAATAACTGACCATTTTCTAGTGCCCATGACTTTTCTTCTCCTAGAATATTATTCAAGCACAAAATAAATAGTACTAGACTTGATCTTTCCACTATCCAGAAAGGGTCGTCCTGACAGAAAAAAGACATGCATGAACTCAAAGGATTGCTAATTTCTGAGAAGCAGATTAAAATACTGACAGAGTTTCATCAATTAAATGTTTACTGAGGAAAAAGTAGGATAGAAAGGAGTGGAATGAGATGGAGACAGAAAAGGAGGATGCAAGAGGAAGAAAACTGAAGGGTTCACATTTTAAAACTAAGGTTCTTCTAAGGAAGAACCAGGAAATTGACCCTACTCACCAAGCACACGTGAGTGGAGCCAGAATTCTTGAGGGAGTTCTTAGTGATGCTAATGTCATGGGAAATTCTCAAATATTCATTCACACTTTCTAGGAACAAAATCTTGGCTTTTGATTCCAGTGACCCCCGGTCTTTAATCTCCAATCTTATGGTTTACAGCTACCCTTCCTACATTTTTCAAACATGTTCTGACTTACAGGAAGGATCGGGGGTACAAATGAGCATTTGTCATTCAAGAAACATCAACAACTTCTGTTTAGAAAAAAAAAAAAAACAAAGAATATGCTCATAAAGAGATTAATCTAGTCAAGAAGGAAAAAAGATAAAATCACAAAGTCCAAGTATCAAATAAATAGGATTCACAAATACATACTATAGAATTTCAAATGTCATAGTGAAATTGAACCTTAAAGAAAAGGTGTAATTTAGATTTTTATTTTAAAGGAAGAAACTGGCAAAGAAGATTGATACTAGAAGCAAAAAGCAGGTTTAAGGGATAATGGAGGAAAACAAATTTGGATAAGGCACCTCTTCCATAATGAATATGAGCTCAAAAAGCCAAGGACAAACAATTCTGAAGAAGTCATTTTGAGTCAAGAACTCAGTTGTGGTGTGGAGGAACTGGAGAAATGGCTCGGCAGTTAAAAGGGTGTGCTGCTCTTGCAGAGGACAGAGATCTCAGCACCTACACAGGTGGGCTCACCACTGCCAATAACTCCAGCACTAGTGAATTCCAGCTGGCCTCCACATGTGTGCACACACACAGCAAGAGGTGAGTATATTCTGAATTCAGTTGGTAGGACTTTTTTTTAATGTGCACTGGTGTCAGATCCCCTGGAATTGGAGCTACAGATAGCTGTAAGTTGTCATGTGGGTGCTGGAAACTGAGCCCACGTCCTCTGGAAGAGCTGTTAAGACTGCCCTTACATGCTAAGCCATCTATCCAGTCCCAGTAGAACATTACTTATACAGATAGAAGCATATTCCCAGAAGTATACATAAGTTGAACAATGTAAGAGAAGTAGATACTGGGCCTAATACAATATATACGACAAATCACTAATCTTTCTCTTAGGAATTTATTCTTCTGCACTTTTTGAATTAGGACAGTCCCAACACTAAGGTATTTATCACACAATATGAATCAATTTTTTTAATCTTGCCCAGTTCCTCAATGGCTCATTACTTCAACATCAGCACTTGAATGACACAGGAAAAGACAACTATAATGAATTTGGCTTTCTGAGCTCATATTTTAGTAAGGGTATATAATCCTGAGGTTCCAATTCCTATCGTTAATTGTCTTAGGGTTTCTACTGCTGTGAAGAGACACCATGACCACAGCAACTCTTATAAAGGAAATATTTAATTGGGGTGGTATGCAGTTCAGAGTTTCAGTCCATTGTCATCATGGTGGGACTCAGAGGCGTACAAGCAGACACTGTGCTAGAGAAGTAGCTGAGTGACCCACATCTTGCAAGCAATAGGAAGTCATCTGAACATCACCCTGAGCAAAGCTTGAGCAAAGGAAACCTCAAAGCCCATGCCCATGGTGACACACTTCTGCCAAGGCCATGCCTACTCCAACAGAGCCACACCCCCTACACATTTATGGGGGCAATTACATTCAAACTACCAAACTAATAGTTTGAATTTAAAGACATCATCTGTCAGTTTATTGGCATGGTGGCTCATACATGCAGTCCCAACACTGGGGAGACTGAGCCAAAAGGATGCCAGGTGTTTGAAGTCAATGAGAGATATATAGCGAGTTCCAGATCAGCCTCAGCTAAAGGATAAAACCCTGCTTCAATTTAAAACAACAAATAAAAACAATATAGAAACGACAACAAAAAGATCATTTAAGCCCGCCATTCAGGCCTGAAGTTAGGTCCCAAGAAATTCCTTTTCCCAAACTCTGGCATTTATGTAGAACAAGTCTGTAGACCAGGCTGGCCTCAAACTCAGAAATCCTCCTGCCTCTGCCTCTCAAGTGCTGAGGATCAAAGGAGTGCGCCACCACTGCCCGGGGGTCATTCTTCTTATCTCTGGCAAAAGAGGGGAGGCAAACGGCTGTTCCACTAACCCATGCTTGTCGTACCCATTAGCATTATCAAGGTCTATGCCAGCCTCTAAACTCCCTCAGTTCCTACTGGCAAGAACCTGGTTCAGTCATCCTGGCTGGCAAATCCCTTTCTTCTTCCCAGTTCCCCTTCACCAACCCGAGAGCGAAGATCTCCAATTTGGCTTGTTTTGATTTGGCATGATTGGGAATTTTTGCGTCGGCAGGGAGCTCGTTCCTAACACCTTCCCCCCAGCTCTCCGGCCTATATAACCTCAGCCACGATTACCCAATCTCTTGCTCTGCTCTAGCCTCCAGGACCCCTTTCCTCTCTCTCTCCCTTCTCAAGGCCGGATCTGCTGCGCTGGCCATGTTCACTCGGAACCCTTCTTTGATGCCTCTGGCTGCTCTCGCCCTCACATCTACAGTGATACTTCTCCTCAACCATACCTTGAAGCAGTTATGTTCTCATTTTCATTCGGCCCCACAACTCAGGAGGCAGAGGTGGAGAAATTGCCAATTCAAAGCTTACAAAGCTAGACCAGTTCTTATTACTTTCCCCACCAAATAGACCACTTTTAAAAATTAAATTAAATAAAAAACTTAATTTACCTTACAAGTTATATCATTAAGGGTTCAACAAGTGGAGAGTGAGCCTACTGTAATCCCAAGGCTTAAAAACTTGTGTCTTGCAATCTCTCAAATGGTGCATGAAACTCTAAACTGTTATCATCTTGTTATTTAAAAATATTACTAGAGACAGTCTGCAGACTTTATCGCCTTAGAAAAGAAATACTCAAAGCAAAATGCCCCCAGCATACTCTGGAATAAGTAACAGCCAGAGAACAACTCAAACCCATCTGCAAGGCTCCCAAGAGTCACGTGACACCGAAAAAAATCAAAGCATTCTACTAATTCTAATTAAAGTGGTTTGAAGTCAAATCTAAATACAAAAGATGAGAAATGTTACCACGTATAGGCTAAAAGTATAAAACTAGCGAACTCTGAACTCCAATCAATAAGCCACATTTAATTGTGCTCTGGTTGAAATCAGACTTGTTTACGGTGATGTTGCTTGGCAACAGAAGCACAGCTTTAACCACCAACTCAGTTCTTTAGACCTCATTTAGTACTTTATACTAACAGTTGGAAGATATTATGAATTCGTCATATAGTAGAAAGTTCGGAAGGAATTTATCCTTATATCCTAGACATCTTTGAGAAGGAAGTGGCTTGATAATTAGGTGACCAAAGACTTAAAACACTAAGCAAAGGCCAAAGTGTCCTTTTATTATAGTCAGAAATTGAACTAAGGATTCGCCAAAGTTATCAAGCCCCAAACCACGCTTAATATAGCTCTCAACAACACCTGCACACATCACTACCACAACTGTCTTAAAGAACAAGGAAAATGACAGCGTGGCTTCTCCACCACCAATTAAACTGGAGGTGCTTCACATGAAGCCAGTTACTCAGCTGGCTAGCATGCCGCAGTGCACCAAAGAGCCCCGTAACGAGTTCCACGTGCTTCTAAAGACCGCATCCCGAGCTCACCTCACGGCCTGCCTTCCTAACACGCGCTTCCTCCTTTTTTACCAGGAAACAAAACCAGGGTTCAAGGGCGGACGTGGAGGAGGAGGGCTGCAGGGTCCCACCCAAACCTAAAATGAGAGGTTACTTACCAAACTCAGTCCTTGCAGCTTGCCCAAGGAACACGGACGCGCTCGCCCCCAGGGGACCCCGGCACAGCTCCGACCACCGCCACCCACTCCGATCTGCTCGCCCAGGCATTGGGGCCGCGGGGTCGGGGGTCCCAGGGCTGGGGTGTCAGGCCCAGCCCGCCACGCCTGGGGCGGTCCTGGCAGCCGCTCTCGCCGCGGGCTGAAAAGGAAGCTGGGGACAGCTGAGGTAGCCCGGGAAACTCGAAGGGCCAAGAGGGCGGCGGCGGCAAGCCCGGCTCCTCCTCCGCGGCCCGGCCTCCTCGGCAGACACGCCGCCCCCTCAGCCCGGCAGCCCGCCACTCGGCGCCGCCGAGCCGCCCTTGTCCGGAGCCGCCGCGGCGCGCCAGCAGGAAGTCCCGCCCCCGTTCTACGTCATCGACGCCGCGCGCCGCCCCTCGCCGGAGCCGTTGGTGGTGGGACCCTGGCTGCAGCAACGGTTGTGCCAGCTACGGCTGCGGCTGCTGCGGTGGCCGAAGTGAAGACGCCACTTTGGGACGTCCCCTGTGGGCTGCATCGAAAGCCCGCGAGCCCGAGGATCGGCAGGTCGCGCCCCAGACACTCGTGTCGTGAGCAGGTCTCACCTCAAAGCCCGCTGCCCGGTGGGTTGAGGGACGCTCTTGCCCTCCTCCCGCCCTTGTCACACCTCCTTTTTCTGAGGACCAGAACGGTGCTCTCGGCGCCACCTCTGTCCCTGCAGGCCGCCTGTCATCGTGCCTGCTGGGCGGATTTTCGGGCTCTGGCACTCAGCCCGCAAGTGCGGAGTCGCCCCCAGCTTGTCACTAGGGAAGTCAGGTCAGGACCTGTGTCATCCTGTAGGCTCGCCTCCTCATAGGAAGTGACAGGGAGCTCCTGGTCTTCAGGCTGTTAACCGAAGTTGACACTTGGTGCCACCTTTGACAATATTTGTTACCTAAAGTCTGAAATGAACTAGTCTTCCAGCGCTGTGGGAGAAACAAACGTCCTGTGTCAATAGCGTAGCTTCCGTTTGTATCTCTGACCTCCCAGTGCAAGGGCAACAGAGCTGTGGCGTTTTTTGAAATGGGGGGTGGGGTGCGTCAGAAGCATAGTGTTATGTACATTAGATACGTGGGAGACACATTCACCAACAGAATAGAGAAACCGGAAATCCTGAATGTGACATTGACAGTAACAATTTGCCGAACCAGTGCTGCGGCATTTTTATAGATGACCTTAACCCGGAGTTGTGTGGATTCAATTATGTTTTACGGTTTTCCCAGATCCCGAAATCAACAGTAGCAACCAGTGAAACCGTCCGTTAGAAATCTCAGGTAAGTGGAAAAGATGACTAGGAGGAAAAGCGAGTGGAAGAGAGCTCTCACACATGAACACTCAGAGAAAAAAATTAAGCCGGGTGGTGGTGGCGCACGCCTTTAATCCCAGCACTCGGGAGGCAGAGGCAGGCGGATCTCTGTGAGTTCGAGGCCAGCCTGGTCTACAAGAGCTAGTTCCAGGACAGGAACAAAAAGCTACGGAGAAACCCTGTCTCGAAAAACCAAAAAGAAAAGAGAAAAAAAATTAAACCATTACAAAAAATAGTAGAAAATCTGTGCTGAAGAGATGGCTCGATGGTTTAGAGCGCTTCCTACTTTTCCAACAGACCCAAATTCGGTTCCCCGAACCCAGATCCTGCTGCTCACACCTGCGTGTAACTACAGCTGCAGAGGAATCTGACACCTTTGACCTCTGTGAGCACCTGCACTCCTGTGCACGTACCCACGTGTAGACACACATAACTAAAAATACTAACATTTCTTTAAATAGAACTCAAAGGTGAATGTATTGATCACCCTGAGGTTAGTTAGAAAGAAAGGCCTTTTCCAAGAATGAAACCGCATGAAACAACAAAGATTGTAATTAATATACCCATAAAATTGAAAATAGCCATAGAAAATACATTTCTATCATTTGCAAGAAGAAAAGCATTCCCGACATACAACTCTTAGAAGATAAGTATAACTTTCAACACCTGATAATAAAAGTTGGCAAAAGAGAGGTGTGTTCATTCAGTAGAAGACTCTAGACCCATTAAGCGTTCCATTACATATGTCCATAGACTATGGGTTGTATTTGCTCAAGAATAAAAGCAAAATACAAATCACGGTATACAGAATATGAATGCATGTATGTTGATATAAAAGTACAAAAATCTAAATGAAAATGAGACAGGGATTTTTATCTTTTGGATGTTTTAACTTTGTTTGGAATTTTTAATTCATAAACATTGTTTTATGAAAGTAAAGTCATATTTTTTAATTAAAAATGTACCAGGGAAAGGAGATACCACCAGGCGGTGGTGGCGCACACGTTTAATCCCAGCACTCAGGAGGCAGAGGCAGGTGGATCTCTGTGAGTTCGAGGCCAGCCTGGTCTACAAGAGCAAGTTCTGGGACAGGCCCCAAAGCTACAGGGAAACCCTGTCTCGAAAACTGAAAGAAAGAAAAAGAAGGAAGGAAGGAAGGAAGGAAGGAAGGAAGGAAGGAAGGAAGGAAGGAAAATTAGACACCATGACCAAAGAGGATGAAATTTAATATAGGGCAAGGATTAATAATATTAATATTATTATAAGAATATAGTATTATGTTTCATTAATATTATTAATGGAACAAAGCCATAGTCCCAGTAGATACAGAAAAAATATTTTACAAAATTCAAAACTCATTAGCATTAGAAAGTTTAAGCAAGCTAAGAACAGAAGGGAACTTCCTCGAGTAGATTGGTTATCATCTTTTGAAAACTTAATGGTGAAATAGGAAATCTGCTTCCACTAAAATCAGGCATAGCATTAACACAAAAGTTTCTATAGCAGGGGAGGAAAAAAAATCTAAAACTTCATATGGTCATATGAAAGACCCCAGATAGTCAAAGCAATTCTGAAGGGGAAAAGGCTAGAGAAAGGACAGTGCCTGATTTCACATTATATGACAGAGCCATAGTAACAAAAACAATATAATACTGCACACAAACACCCAGGGTTCTTCTCTGACCTCCACACATATGCATACACTCATATACACATGCATAAAAGACACTATCAATGGTAAAAACTGACTCATAGTTAGGAGAAAATATTTGTAATATCTATAAGATACCCAGGTATGTGAAGCACTAAACTCAAGAACAATGCAATTGAAAGGCTGGGAAGGAAGTTGGAGAAATAGTTCAGTGCTCTGATAGAGAACCAGTGTTCAGTTCCCAGCATCCACATCAGACAGCCAATAACTGACTGTAATTCCAACTCAGGAGAATCCTGTGTCCTCTCCTGGCCTCCTGAGGCACTTGAGCACACATGAGTATAAACAGAGACTTGAAAAACTAAAATAAAAATAAAGTTGAGGGTTGGAACTAGGGGTGTAGCCTAGCTGGTGGAGTTTTGCCTAGCATGCACATAAACATAGGTATATACCTGTAATCCCAGCACAAAACAAAAAGCTGGAAGTGGTAATGGTAGAAGCAGAAGGAATATGATCTTGAGGTCAGCCTGGACTGCAAGATGAGACCCATTCTGAAAAGGGGGCAAGAGGTACAGAAAGCATAGGCATTTCTCCAGTGATGGCAGATAAGCACATAAAAAGATGTTCAATATCATGAATCAAATGTATATAAAAATTGAATCACCATTGCACACTCATTAAAATGATTATCAGCACCTAATACACAACCCAGAAAGTAACAAATCCTGGTGAGAATGTGGAGACATTGAAACTTGTAAATTGATGGCAAGGTTTTAAAACCACTCTGAAAACCAGGGTTACAGTTCGACAAAAAGTTAAGAATTACCAAATCTAGTGTTCCACTTGTAGTTTATACCCAAAACAGTTGAAAGCAGAAGCTCAGAGATAAATCCATGTTTGTAGCAAAAATAGTCAAAACACCTAAAACATGGAAACAAAAATGTCTGTGCGTGGATGACTAAGTGAAGCATGGTAACATTCATCAATAAAACACTGTTTACTCTTACAAAGAAAGAATGTTCTGACCTATGCTACAGCATGGGTTCACTGTGAGGATGGGAGCTAGTCATGCAATAGAATATAACCAGTCAGAAAAAGATAATAAATAGGAGAATATTTAATGTTTCCACTTAGTTACTTAAATCACAGAATAATAGCTGCCAACTCTGGAGGAAGGTAGAAACCAAAAGTTAACTGCTTAATAAGTACAAAATATCAGTTGTTCAGGATGAAAAAAGAGTTATGGAGATGGGTTATAGTGCAACATTATGAATGCATTTTATTCTTCTGTATCATATATTTTAAAATAGTTAAGGGGCCAACCATAATGAAACACACTCCTGGGATCACAGCACACAAAAAGTGGGAGAAGGAAAATCAGGAGTTCAGGATCATCCTACGCTACACAGAAATTTTGAAAACAACCTGGACTAAAAATGAGACCCTGGTTCAAATAAATGAAAAATGAATAAATTAACCTAAAATTTTAAATGATTAAGGAATAAATTTTATGAGTATCTTGATAAAACGAAGACTGTTCATTTCATCTTTAGTCACGAGAAATGAATGTCTAAAGTATAGTAGATTACACTTCACACACTGAGGAGCTACAGTCGGTCTTGTAGAACCCTAATGTTAGTGACGATGTAAGCAGCTGGAACTCACACATCACTGGTGTTAGGACAACATTCGTTAGTGAACGTTCACAGTTTAAACAGCAGTCTAACCTATGCATGAGCCATTCATCTCAGTTACTTGACTGAAATTAAATTCAAGTTCACAAGAATACTACATGTTTAGGACAGCCTTATTCAAAAAGTAGTCACTCACCTATCTCAGGAACATGAAAATTATACAGTCACACACTAGACTACAAGTAAGCAATAAAAGGAACATGCTTGGGCTGGAGAGATGGCTCAGTGGTTAAGAGCACTGCCTGCCCTTCCAAAGGTCCTGAGTTCAATTCCCCGAAACCACGTGGTGGCTCAAAACCATCTGTAATGAGATCTGGTGCCCTCTTCTGGTGTGCAGGCATACATGCAGACAGAATACTGAGAATACTGTATACATAATAGATTTTTTTTAAAAAAAAGGAACATGCTTGTCTATACACTCAACAACATGGATAAATCTCACAAATATTTTTTATATACAAAAAGCTGAGCACATCAGAGTACATGATATTTGGTTCTGTTCAAATGGAATCCAAGAAAAAGTTTTATAAATTTCAAGGTGACTTTAAGACACAGCAACATAGTAGAAAAAAAGTCTAAAGAATCTTAATGATAAACAATTCTATATTTTGTGTCAAGTTACTTTTAATGCAGTTCTCAAAACTCACAAACTGAATATCTAAGATATGTGCATTTTATTACTAACTATGCCACAACAGCTTATATATTTAAAAGTATTAATAGAAATGACACCTTTTGAGTCATTGAAACACTAATTACTGCTAGGAATGCCACTCCCTTCCTGATATCAAGATACCTGAGAAATTTGACCAGTAGTTAGGAAACCACTTAGTGTTCCTGCTCTCAGGAAAATGAAGCACAAGTCAGCCCTCAGGACCAATGTGTTGATATCCATGGACTCTGTGAGATGGAAAATATCCATTTGAAAAGATTGTGTCTGATGAAAACAGAAAGGAAATTATTTGGAGGAGGAAGGAGACCAGCAAGAGAGGAGGAGGAGAAGGCTGGCAATATGAGTTCACCAGGAAAGCACTTGCCGCACAAGCCTGAGTCTGATCCTGGGAACCCGACTAAAAGTGGAAGGAGAGAACAGACTCCACCAAGTTGTCCTCTGACCTTTGCGTGTGTGTCATGCATACACATCATGCTCATGCACGAGCACACACACACTTTTAATTTTAAAAGGAGAGTAGGAGAATGGGCATTGAAGGAGAGGTACAAATAAAGCATAATGGCGCACACATAACTGTATGAAAATGCTGTAATGAGACCCATTCATCTGCTCCAACGTACGTTAAATTTAACCCATGTGAGTACCTTTTGATTTAAAAAAACGTTACACATGGTGAACATGAAAAGCAGTCATATCAACCACTGACCTTTTGATCATTATGGCCAGGTGTGGTGGAACAAGCCTTTAATCCGGCAGACAGAGACAGGCTGAGTTCAAGGCCCTGAGTTAGAGGCCAGCCAGGTCTCCATAACGAGTTCTAGGACATCCAGAGCTTCACAGAGAAGCCCTGAATCTAAGAACTAGAAAAAAAAATTATGATGTACTGAGTACATCCAAAAAATTTTGTCATTCCTTGATTACATAGCATTTCTATTGTAGTAGGCATTATATGTGTGTCAGCCTATAACAAAATCTTGAGATGATCAATTTAGAAAAAAGTGTATTGTGTATTGTAGTTTGGGATTTTTGTACATAATCATTTGGCCTTTTCGGGGCCACTAGTGAGACAACACACCATGGCAAGGAATGCAGAGTTGATTCTCAACCTATGGGTCAAACGACCCTTTCACAGGGGTCGCCTAAGACCATCAGAAAACACAGATATCTATATTACATAAATAAAATTATAATAACAGTAGCAAAATTACAGTTATGAAGTAGCAATGAAAATAATTTTTTGGTTCCACAACATGAGGAACTATATTAAAGGACTGAAGTATCAGGAAGGATGAGAACCACTCATGGGTCAGAAGTGAAAGAGAAATAGAAGAAGTGGAGTGGCGGTGGTGTTCCACTATTCCCTTCAAGGGTATGCTGCCCATAATAAAGACCTCCTAGTAGGCCTTACCCATTAAAAAGGCTCTACCACCTCCTAATGGTACCACACTGGGAAGTCACTGTTTACCAAAAGAATTTTCAGGAGGGCATTTAAGATCCAAACTGTGACAAATAATACAGGTTTTAGAACCAGGTAGTGGTGGTACGTGCCTTTAATCCCAGCACTTGGGTGGCAGAGGCAGACAGAGCTCTGTGAGTTCAAGGCCAGTCTGGGCTACAGAGCTAGTTCCAGGACAGCCAAGACTATACAGAGAGAAATTTTATCTCAAAAAGCCAAAAAGAAAGGAGAGAAAGTGGAGGGGTCTAATTTTAAAGGATACAGGAGACATATGTTACATACAAATATGTTTTATAAAAGGAGTTTGAGCATCTATAAATTTTCTTAAACATAAAGCATCTGGAAACCAATACTGGATGAACAACACTCTAAAACATTGAGGAATACATTCAAACTGCAGGAAAAGAAATAAGTGCCCAAATAATAATAAACGAGCTAGTCTATTATGGAAGATCAATGGGGGTAAATCTATAAAAATTAAAGGCTTTGGTATTATCAACCAACGTTACTAATTCATGGAATATTAGGACTTGAGAAACCTAATAAGAAAATCTTTTTACATGTTTAAATTCTAAATAAGAAAAAGGGAGGACATTTGGAGTGTTTGAACAAAACATAGCATGCTGCAGGATATAAGAAGTCTTTTAACAGAGCAGGCATTGCAGTATTACTTTTTACTTTCCACATTTCATAGTTTGGTGCCAGGGACAGAAATAATACATGAGGAATAGCTTGTTTTATGGAATATCAAGGGCGGGGGACTTCTGTTTTCTATAGCTTAGTGGGAAATGAGACGATACTTGTCTTAAAATCTACACACATTTTTTCCTTCATCTGTTAGCTTCTCCTTCCCACATTCTCTTATATTTTTGGTTGTAAGCCTAGACTTTAACGGCTGAACCCTCTCTCCAGCCCCACATTCTCTTTAGTAATTATGCTTTCTCTTAGGTCCTCATTCACCTTCTCTCCTTTTTTTTCTTTTTCTCCTCTAGACCAGATTTCTCTGTTTTCACAATTGATGCTCAGGAGGCATTTTAGGAACTACCCCTAACACACACCCCTGTTTTTCACAGCACATGACCATGAAAACCTGAAACAAATACATTGAATTTGTACTGGGGCTCCTTGGAAGACCAAAAATCATGGTAATATCTAAAGGGCTTGTCCCAAACCCAACTTTTGTCCCCTTGGAGAGTAATGTTCTCTATAACGACGCTTACTCCAAATAACAAGTTCTCTGAAAGAGTAGACAATCATGTTTACCATGGGTTAAAAAAATTAATCACTTTTACATACCCATCAAACAACTATATGCCAAAGTTCTTTGCTGTGGAATGATTCTCTTGTACACTGTAAAGATTTGTCACTCATATTGGTATAATAACACTCTGATTGACCGGCAGCCAGTCAGGAAGTATAGGCTGGGTTATCTAACTAAGGATGATGGAAAGTATAAGAGCAGAGTCTGAGGAGTCACCAGGCAAACACAGTGGGGAGCAGGAGATGAACGTGCCATACCAATAAAGGTACTGCCATGTGGCAGAGAGTAAATAAATATGGGTTAATTTAAGTGTAAGCGTTAGCTTGTAATAAGTCTGAGCTACAGGCCGAGCATTTATAAGTAATATTAAGCCTCTGGGTGGTTATTTGGGAACTTGTGGGCAAGAGAGAAATGTCTAACTACAGCTCTTCACTCTTATAGATACTACCTACTATTGGTTATAGATGATACTACCTACTATTGGTTATAGATGATACTACCTACTATTGGTTATAGATGATACTACCTACTATTGGTTATTTCACAGCACCTCCATTCTCAAAGAGCGTCTTCCTGGACTAAACGTGGAAAACACTGGGACTCAAAACATTATACCCACAAAGAGTTCAAAGGGTAGGTTATTTATATAAATGTCTCCATCCACTATGTGCTGATTTTTTCCATGTTTACCATTGAGAAGATGATCGCTTTCTAATTTTTTTCTCTGAATTCTGAAGCTGTACAACCTCTTTGATACTTACAACCTTATATAACTTATAAAGCTATTCGTTTCAATAGAGAGTCAGGAATTAGGCTAGAAGAGAATAGAAATAGAATAGAAAAAATAACTGAGAATAAGGAAAAAAGAAGTGATCAAGCTTCTCTCATTTTTTAATCTATAAGTAAAATTTTGTGATCTTAATAATCATACTCTGAGTTGTTCTCAAAAGAAGTGTTTTATAAACTAGATATTATCTAAAGATTAGGGACTAATGTGATAGCAATTTAGGAGGCCCCAGGAATACAGAGCATCCTGCAGTACAAAACTTAGTCTGAGTCTGAGAAAAGTAAGCAAAATAGAAGTAGGCATTGATTAAAAGAAATGGGGTTTAAAATTCAAGGGAGAAAGTAGACCAAGAGAGCCTTAAGACTGGTGTAGGCTCTGCAATAGAGCTCCAAGAAAGTCTTGGCCATGGCAATAAGACTCCAAAGTGCAGGAAATAACTTGAGAGATCCCAGTTTTGAACAGACATGGCTGTGTTCAGCCATTGGTGGGGGAAAATCCAGGGAAGTTTACAGCACAGAGCTTAAATGATGAATCCCCAAGATACAACACTTGGAAGACTGTTGGCTAACTATAGTCCTCAGTTTGCGCTCTCTCTCTCTCTCTCTCTCTCTCTCTCTCTCTCTCTCTCTCTGGTGTGTATACTATAAATAATACTAAAATAGTTTGTGTGTGCCAAGGTGACTGTTTTGATGTTTTTCCCTTTTATATTTTTTTTCTTTTCAACCAGGATGTTGGATACAGAATAAGAAATTTTGGGAGATCAAAATTCAGGAGTTCAGTTCCAGCCTGGAAAACAAGATGAGGGAACTTTCCAGCCTGCACCAATGTTCACATTTCTGATTGACTTACAAGATTTTCCTTCTTTTGACCTCAGAAGTCACTTGGAAACTTGTGGGGGAAATTTCAGCACATCTTTTAAGTTTTGTTTATGATAAGCAGGGGAGATACATCAGAACTTAGAGAAGTGTCTCAGCCTCCAGACTTGGTAGCCTTGCCATCAACCCACCCCTGGGTTTTCCTATCCAGGCTTTGGGGTCACGTTTCATTGTCAGTGTGATTCAAGTTCACGGTTTACCATCACAGCTAGCCATAGTTTTAGTGGCTAGTCTTAAACTCTTTGCTGAGGTGTGTGTGTGTGTGCGTGTGTGTGTGTGTGTGTGTGCGTGCGTGTGTGTGTGTGTGGTTTTTTGGTTGGTTGGTTGGGTCTGTAGTTTTGGTTTTTGGCAGAATTTTTCACATTTTTATGGTAGGAAAGTTTACATTAGCATTAAGAAATGCTTTCCTAGTTTGCTATTGCCCAGTAGCTGCTTCTCAGCACTGCCGGCTTTCATGGAATTTTCGGTATTGTTTTTATTTTGTGTCTTGATCTTTGCACATGAACCATGCTATTATTAGTTTCTGCTGGAAATACTTACATGTGTGGTATGTGTACCTGCTCATGTGTGTATGTCTGCACATATGTGCACATGGGTGTGGAGGACAGAGATTGACCTTGGGCGTTTCCATTCATCAGTTCTTCAGCTTATGCTTTGGAGCAAGGTCTCTCACTGAACCTGTAATCCATCAGCTCAGATAGGCTGGCTGGCCAGTGAGACTCAGGGATCTGCCTGTCTCCACCCTCTCAGTACTGGGGCTGTTGTCATGGCAGCGGAGCACTTCACTGGCTGAGTCATCTCTCTAACCCTTCTGGAAACAATTTATCCAGTATTCCTACTCAGGGCTTTCATCTTGTCGTCTACTTTATCTTCAGGCATATCAGTTCCTGCTGTACCTTCACAAGCATTTGTGTCCGCATCTCTTTTCTTCTTCATGATCTCTACAGTCCTGCTTTTCATTGGTGTCATTTGAGCGGGGGCGCTCTTAAATCATCATGTGGGGGAAGCTGCTCCGCCATGATCCCCATGGGTCTGTCCTCTTGAGAATGTCTTTTATGAAGGCAAACTGCAGTTCCTGTCACTCAGTGGGCCTCAGGCTGCAAGTGCTGCTCATCATTCTCCTCCATTGTCTGTCAGATTCTATTTCCCTTTAGTTGTGCTTTGGATAAGCCTAAGGGCTTACCTCGTATGACCCAGATCCTTATTCCCATGGAAAATGTGTGCTGGTAACCATTTACATCTCATTCTGGAATGGCTGCACATGTCCTCCCACGGTTACAATTTGGAATCAAAATGTTCCCAAATTGATCACCTATGTGTTTTTCTCTGCCTTGTAGCATTTTGATTTCTTATTGATCTAGCTCAGTTACCACTGCCAAGATAGGAAATCCTTGCCTGCTCATAACTGTTCCCAGAGTTCCAAATGGCCAAACAGTAGCCATAACTTATGGTCTAATGGGACTCTTGTTGTTGTTCCCCGACAGAAATTCATCCATTTGGAAGCCTTCAGAGTAAAGGGTTATAGGAACAGGAAGTAGTGTCCCCTAACAAGTCAGTGGGGTCACTTCTGTTTCCTCTGCTTTGTTGTTCTTAGTAGGAACAATACCTTATAGGTCTCTCTGTGTTAGTGTATGTACTGTTTCTTGAAGGATGACACTTAATCCTTATGAAATCATGCTTCTGAGCTGGCACTTCAGCTAAACCATTATTACATTGGAAACAAATGTTAGGGTCGAGATGAATTTTAGGGTTGAACAGCAAGGTCAGGAACACTGAGGAAGGTAAATAAGAAGGTTTGCAACTGGGTATGAAATAGCCAAGTTGCCCAGAGAAGAGAAAGTGAATAACTCTGGAAAGAACAAAGCCTGGCTCTAGATGTTTCAGTTGGCCCCAGGAGCCCCACCTCCACCCTTGCAGGAGCATGTGCGAGACATCATTGCCCTTTCCTTAGTAAACATCTACACTTTATAGGTAGTTACACCGTCATAGATAAGAATGCATCTAATTGTAACAGACTGAATTGTGGGTAATGGCTTCTAGGAAAGCTACTTGCTTTAGAAAGGACACCTTCTCATACTCCGCCAAGGATGGACAAAGGAAGGAAAACTGGTGGACAAAGTCCAGATGCTAGAGGTATCCCTTTGCCACTGGCACGTGGCTCAGACCACCCTCCCCTCTTTGCCTTCTCACCTGCTGAAGTAAACCCTGGCAGCTTGTTCACTCTACTTGAGCTCTAATGTCAGTCTCTTTCCTTGAGGAACACAAACACTGAGCCTGCTGCTGCACTTGACATAGAAGGGAATGTGGGAGGAGACATCTCTCCTCATCCCTAACACCTTCAGTGGGTTGCCTGGTGTTCTATCAGACTGGATGGCCCTGTTGATTCTCTTGTCAGGAGTTCACATATTATCTTTTTACTTATCCTTGTTTGGATGCTCAATTAAATTAGATCTTTAAGGCCCTGGCTAGCAATAATATCAGCTAAGGCCCTGCAAGGCAGAGCAGCAAATCCACACCCAGAATAAGTCCTCATCCCTGTCAGGATGGACCACTAGCCACTCCAAAATTGCAAAAGTCCATGCTATTGACATGCTACCAGGTGTCCGATTGGTCTCAAGTGATACTACCATATCGGGCACACAGTATAGTTCTGTCGCGTGCAGGTTCTTCAGAGAAAGATAGGTATGGGTTGGCTTTTGTAACTGGGAATTTGCACTGGCTCATGTGTAGCCTCCTGTGAAAACATGGCTGCTCATATGTTGTTGTAGTTCTAGACAGTTCTAGAACAGGCCATGACAAAAGCTTGCCTAACACCAACAGATAGAATCCTTTGTTCAATTTTTCTGTTTCTCTTCACGATGAATGTTCTAGTCAGAGCGAATTATGTCATTAGCCACTAAGCAAGACAGGTACCTTTAGGGACAAAATCCTATAAGTGAATGCACCTTTGGGGCATCCTGCAGGTTCTTCAGAGAAAGATAGGTATGGGTTGGCTTTTGTAACTGGGAATTTGCTCTGGCTCGTGTGTAGCCTCCTGTGAAAACATGGCTGCTCATATGTTGTTGTAGTTCTAGACAGTTCTAGAACAGGCCATGACAAAAGCTTGCCTAACACCAACAGATAGAATCCTTTGTTCGATTTTTCTGTTTCTCTTCACGATGAATGTTCTACTCAGAGCGAATTATGTCATTAGCCACTAAGCAAGACAGGTACCTTTAGGGACAAAATCCTATAAGTGAATGCACCTTTGGGGCATCCTTTGTTTTCTTGCCACTGAAATTTTATGGCATAAGCAGAGCATTCCTTGAGGCATGTCAGTTGATCAGTTTGAGCTAACCATGCTTCAGAATGTGTCTACTGTATCTTCTTTGTAAATTGTGAGATTTCACTGAGCTTGCTCAGGAATGTACTCCTTAACTGAGCATGCCTAGTATTGGATCACCCCTGACATGAGTTTGTATAGGCTCTCTGAATAAAATTCCCATGCTGTCTCTGATGGAAGAGCTTTGTTTGGGAAGAACACCTGTGCTCTCTCTTGTCCATTGCAAGACTCCTTTTTTTATATATTGACTGTGCTTATTTTGGCTTGCACTTAACAATATGTGAACCCATTATATTGGATTACAATATAATAAAAAAAAAGTCTTTACCCCTTGTGTTTTCTCTCTCAGCTCCATTTATTATATACCTCTTTCCTCACTTCATTGCCTCTGATCACCAAGGGCTAATGAGAAGGTTCATACAGGATGATTATACCATCAAACACTTGAAACTACCAATAAATATTAACAAGGAACAACAAAACAACACATACAAAAAGAAACATAACAATGACTTTTGCTGTGATAAGAAGGCCATAGATCTCTTTGTGAAATACTCTTGCTTCCTCCCCATCAAACCCATAGATCAAGGCTCTTGATTTAACAGTCACAATTAATATAAGGAGGAGACTGACAAAATAATACATGGGGTCACAAATTAGCAAATCCTGAATGTGGGAAATTGACAAACGGTCCAGTTCCTCAAGAACATCAATGGCAGGAGATTGTTTTAAAGTGATAGTTGTATCTCAAAAACGAAACATCAAGCCAAATTGGATAGCTTCCAGGTAAAACAGCCTGGTTTTAAAGTCTGCTTACGTGCTCTCTCGTTTTTCGAGACAGTTTCTCTGTGACAACTCTGGCTATACTCGAACTAGCTCTGGTAACCAGGCTGGCCTCTAAGTCAGAGATCTATCTGCCTCTGCCTCCCAAATGCTGGGATTAAAGGCGTGCACCACCATGGCCTGGCTAAGTCTGTTCTCCAAGGAAGAAAAATCAACCTAATGTAATATGCAAACCCTATAGACACTGAGTCAAACTATTTTAAAAATCACAAACGTGTGAGATTATGGATTTGATCTGCAACATTAAAAATACCTAAAAAAAAAAAAAAGTAAAAGAATCTTAATAGTTGACATTAAGGAATTACAAACTGTCCTCACAGGACATTGTGATATGTGGTTAAATTTTTTGAAATATATCTAGATGCCACTTGATATTGAGGAGGCTTGATATCAGTGCAGCAGGCTAACAATACTGGGACTGGGCCTCACCCTTATAATAACCAGGAAAAAAACACAAATTGTACCCTGCAAGGGACCAATCAGAACTGAGACAAGTACTAGATGCTCCAGAACATTAAGAATAGCTTACATCACTTATATAAAGGTTGCCAATTTCCTTGCAGCAACGCCAGTACAAATCCCTGTTTGACAAGACTTCTGCTGCTCCGCTCCTGCACCATCAGCAGTTCAACCCCATCTGCATCCAGAATCCCCTGCCCTCGCCCCAATCCTTTACTCCTTAAAAACCCTAACATAGCTGAGCTTAGGGCTCTCTGATCCAACTGCTGCGTCAAAACAGGGCAGAGAGTCCGAGCTTGAGCTTGCAAAATTTGCTTTTGCATATGAACTCAGACTGCTGGTCATCTCTGGGGGGCTTGTGAAGAAGGCATAACATTTGGGAGCTTGTCTAGGATCCCCCAGATCCACCAGGACCCCTGACCCCTGGAGCTTTTGACTGGTCAGTGAGTGTCTGTCTGTTTCGTTTGGTTTCGCTTTGTCTTGTACTTTGACCGGGCCCATTTCTAAACTACCTGCACAGGTCTTGGTGGATGCACTGGAAGACCACAGATTGGGGAACTGGGAGATGTTCCAGGACCTTTCCATACAGGATTTGCTCTTGGATCCCTCTGGCATCTCAGAATAGATAAGGCAGGGTCATGCTCTGTCAATCAGCGACAAGTCATCTTCTGAGTTTCAGTTTTTCCTCCTGTTGACCAGAAGGAATCAATTTTTCCTCCAGGGGTCCGGTGGAATCTACATTCTTTTATTTGCTTTTGTGTCTGACACTTAAGACTGGCATTATGGGACAGAAGCCAAGTACTCCCACGCCCTTGACTCTGATTCTTGACCATTTTCAGAAGTTGTCCTTGGAGCAGCAGTCTGTCCATGTCTGTCTGTCTGTCTATAGTTTTCTTTAGTTGCTTAATTGTTGCTCAGTGTTTCACATTCAAAAGCTGACAAGTTGGCTCTGCTATAGGAGCACTGCACCCACAACCCCTTTAAACCAAGTATCACCGCTGCCCAGGACGGCAACCTGAAATAACTCAATGACCATATGTGGTTGCAGAAGGCAGGACTTGGGCTTGTAGGCAGCTTTCTCCAGTGCCCGTGAAAATTGGAGCCAATGGGTAACAAGGTACCCCTTCTAAAAATTATAGCTGACAAAAGTTTAAAAAAAAAATCTGGCATAAATGTGGCCACTGCATGTTCATGTCTTACTGGTCTTAAATGCATGAGCTTACTGTGTTCTATGTGTCTCAGCCACAGCTCAACTGTTACTGTTGCAGCCAGCCATCCGGGCTCAGAATTTAATCTCTGGGCGTTCTCACCATTAAAGCTAATGTAATAGGGATTCAAATGTCAGCTGGGTATAGATAATATTAAAACTGCTTTGTACTGTTCTGTTTATTAAATCGCTGGCTCTGGAACTGGGTTATGGCTCACCGTTTTTCAGATCCAGACTGGCTTTAAAAGTCTCCACGTCTGGGGTCAAATTGGCAGACAGGAAGAGCTAGAGAAGCGCAACCAAGGAATTATTGGTTTATAAATTTATTGGACATAGTTAAAAATCTGTAATATTTGTAACAAAAAGGTTAACTCATAACTTTAACACAGGCTTAATAATCAGAAGGCTACATAGGTCGCCTTAAAACTGAGATCTAATCCATCAGTGTCTATAGTTCTGGGCAAATATTCAAATGTGCTAATGTTGCTTTTTAACCCCTTTAGTTCTGCTTCTGACTGTTTTTGTCAACTGAAATATGTCAATCCCAAAAATATGGTTTTTATGTTTAAAGGCTCACCCTGAGAAAGGCTCAATACTATACTAGAATCCCAAACACCCAGTGTAGCCACTGGCCAACTGAAGTTAGGGCCACAACTGCTAAGCACCAAAAACTGAGATATTTCTTTATCATGATGCAATAAGACAGTGACCTTAAGCAGTCTGACAAACAACTTGGAGCAGTTTTTCAACCTCAAGACTCTAGGGGTCAAAAGACCTTTTTACAGGAGTAGCCTACTAGAGTCACCTGCTTGTCAAATGCATACATAACAATGCACAACAAAAAATTAAAAACCACTGGCCTAAAGAATGTCTCTTTTCTTCCTTTCTTTTCTTTTTTCCTCTTTTCTTTTCTTTTCTTTCTTTCTTTCTTTTTTTTTTTTTTTTTGATGTTGTTTGTTTGTTTTTGAGACAGGGTTTCTCTGTAGCCTTGTGGAGTCTGTCCTGAACCTTGTTCTTTAGACTAGGCTGGCCGCGAACTTATGGAGATCCACCTGTCCGCCTCCAGAGTGCTGGGATTAAAGGTGTGCACCACCAGTGCCCGACTAAGAATGTCTCTCTTAAGATATATTCAAGTTTACAAAAACTGGTTTAAAGATATATGCCTAACCTCCTTGTTTTTGCTAGCGTTGTTAAGCTATGGCTATTTTGGTAAACCGAGTCAAATGAGAAAACTGTTGTTTCTATAATGGTACACCATATAAGGATCAGGAATATTCCCAGTCTGTTTGTAGACTATGTTTATGGTTAGAAATCTTATCTTAATACTAAAAAGAACTTCAATTCAGAAATTATTTTTATTATGAACTGTTAAAAATGATTTAAGTCTTAAGATGTTCAGAACTATACTTATAAGTCATGCTAAGGACTAATGTAATCAAGTACAGAAAAAATTTATCTAGCCTCTTGTAGGTTTTCAAGGTATAACTTAAGACAAACTAAAAACAGGAGTTGTTTGGCTCAAGTATTCAAACCGTCAGAAATTTGCTGAATATGGCATTTAAGACATTTAAACTTATATGACAGAGACTCTCAGATCATAGCAACGATTCCCAAGATCTCCAAAAAGTCAGCAGACACAACAACAGACAATTCCACCTGGACTATGGTAATGCTAACCAGCTGACCACTAAGGGAGACTGCCCCAATATCTGCCTTCTCAAGGTTCAGCCCAAACTGTGGACAAGCAGGACCCTGGAGAGTTGATGCCCCACTTTGCCTAAACAATTGAGGGTGATCTCCCCATATTCCTTTTCCACAGGAAAGCCTCCCATCCTCTGGGCAAGGCAGCCAAGGCTGCTGTCCTGATAACTCTGCCTCATTGTCACAGAGCCTATAGGAGCCTGGGATGTCTGTCTAGGTAAAGACTATGAACTAACCTCTGCCATTTTGGTTAATCCTTCTCAGATCACTGAGAATGTAGCTTTGTCAGCTAGACCACTAGGTCTCTTGTTAAAAAAAAAAAAAAAAAAAAGACAAACAGGTTTGCCTTGCTTACAAGCTTCATATTAAAAAAAAAAAAACAGGTTTCAGATGTAACTTTTCACTAAAGGAACATACAACGACTGTTCTCAATAATAACTATTCCTGTCTCTGGTAAAATATACTTTTTTTTTTGCTAAGGCGTTTTATTAGCTGGTTTGTCAACTTAAATAATACCATAGTGACCTAAGGACAGCTTTCAGTCCCCTCAATGACACTTCTGAAGTAGACTTGTTGAACGGAAAAGATAGTAATCAAATTGGTTCATACCATAAAATTGGCTTGGTCTAGCTATGTTAAGAGTCATTTATCATGGGCTTTTCTGGTTGTGTTTCTCTGAGATTTCAGAGGTTTAGTATTTTAATATTAATAAAATGTTTGGATAAACTGATAGCGCCCTCAAGATTTTAAATTTCCTTTGGTTGTCTTCTAAGTGTCGACTTAAGATGTTTTTTTTTATCAGGCTGACTCAAAAGCCCTAACTTTTGCAATGTCTCCAAGGTACAGATCTATTCCAGCTGTTTTGCAGACACTTGTTGACTGCTTTCTTTACAAACACAGACTTTAAGGACAGCAACAGCACTGGTAGAACCAAGAGGTGAGTGACTAGCCTCCCAGCTGGACAGCTCAGCCTCTAGGCCCTAAGCCCAGGCCCCTTTCCCCACCCCTGTCAGCTGCACCAGCTGCCCACAAAGCAAAGCTCCTGTAGGTAGGCTGCTGTACCCCTCCCATTGGACCCTGTAATCTACAAGTTCCACTCTTCCC